TAAATATCCCTCTGTAAGCATTCTAATAGAAAAGAGAATGGAGGTTTGGGAAACGTGTCAGGGGAAATCTATCGGACTCATGTTTTGCCCATGACGGATCTCACATCTAGTATTGTCACACCAAAATAATATCTCAGAAATCATCTCTTCTAACCCCCTTATCACAAAGATGAAAAAACTATTTCAAGGGATGTAGAATAGTTTATCCAAACTACTTATCTTTTTTTTAAAAGATTTTATTTATTTATCTGAGAGAGACACAATGAGAAAGGGAACACAAGTAGGGGGCGCAGGAGAGGGAGAAGCAGGCTTCCCGTGGGGCAGGGAGCCTGATGCGGGGCTCGATCCCAGGACCCTGGGATCATGACCTGAGCCGAAGGCAGACGCTTAACAACTGAGCCACCCAGGCGCCCTCAAACTACTTATCTTTAAAAAAAATTGCAAATGAAATAAAAAACTCTGCCCCTCAATTCAGCCCTCCCAGGTCCCACTATCCCCTGCCCCTTTGCTAGCATTTCTGCTGGGTGGGTTCCCTTCTGCAGACATAATTCAGGGAAGATCCTCTTCAGTTGCTAAAAACATTTACCAATTTTGAGAGCTAGTAGGATATCTATTCTATGAACATGAGAAAGAATTTAAGTGGTTTTGTACATGGTCACATAGTGATTACAAAGTTAAACCCTTTTAAACCAGAGATTACTCTTGAGCTTCTAATACTATTTAAATTACAACTCCCAAATCTTGAATGATGTAACACTCTAAAGTCCAAATGCTGCTTTCCTCTCTCTCTCTTTTCTTTTAATTCTGTACATCACATGGAAGTTACTTAACATGACAGAAGGCGACCTGGCTAGATTGGCCTGGTAACAAAATCTTAGAGGGGTTCTCTGTGCTATAATACTCACCATCCCCTCAATCCTCTATAAAAATAAACACGTTGATTATGTCATGTCTCTACCCAGGAAATCACAAAGAAATCCACAGAGGTGCATCTAAGCTATATAATACTACAATCTCATGATCCCCTGCGTTAGTTCCTTCAAACGACCACAGTAACCAGATCGTGCAGAGCACCAGGTCCTAGTTTTCACAGCTCAGAGGCAACCAGCCATCAGCTCATTATTCCTGAAACAAATTTTGCAAGGTAAGTAGATCTCATAGACTCAAACATCATGGATAGGTTAATTTAGTCAGTATCTAGTGATAAATTAAGGCAATTGTCTTAACCACGCAGATATTAACAAACACTTGCTTCTGGAATACCAGATACCCAAAGCAAAAGAAAACAGTGTCTGGGATAATCCCAGACTGCGAGTCCTAAAGGTCATTTCCATTTGCTTCAAGCCAACATGAGAGACAACACATGAAAAGCAGTTCCATTATTACCAATGCAATAAATATTGTCATCAACCCCTTCAAAGTAGAGATCCAGTAAAGAATCAGTGAGCCCAACATTTCACTGCTCTGTACCCTTACAGACATTAGCTTCATTTAGACCCTCATGAGAACCTGCATGTTTATTTCCATGTCACAAATGGGTGAGCAGGCTCAGAGAAGTACAGACACTTGTTTACTCTCACACAGCCTGAAAGTGGTAGCTGCAAGGTGAACCCACGTCTGTCTGAAACAAAGCCTGTGTTTTCTGCCTAACAGGCCCCCATGTGTGAACTGGCTCCGAGGGGGTGGAAGGATCCAGGTGATATGCTGCTGGTGCAGGCCAGGGAGGGAATCAGGCCAGGGCAGGAATCATGATGGAGCCCCAGAGAGTGGAGAAATCAGAAAGTCCCTGAAATTAGATTATGTATTGATTTGCCTTTTGGAGCGATCCCTCCACCGAAGAAGTTGATGCAGAGGTTTTGTTCCTCCCGTTTAATAAATCAGGACAAGTAAGACTCAGAGACTGTCACTGCTTAGATCCCAGGAGAAAGCAGTGACTTTTCCACGCACACCCCAAATCTCCCCGCTGAAGCCCAGGGCTCAGTCCCCCTTCCATAGGACTTCCTGTTGTTCCATCACCTGTAAGAGCTCTGCATCTATTTGACCAGGAAAGGCATCTTCTTAGATAGAAAGGGAAAAAGAACACCTCTTCTAAATTCTCTCTACCTTGCTAAAGTGTTTCACATATATTTAGCATTATGAAGCCTTATCGCAATAGCTAAAAATGAAATAAAAATCATAATGTATTTTTGCTTTTATGGTTATAAGTTAAATTCTCTGAAAGATTCTATCAGTAAAATCAACACTTCATAAGATACTTTTATCAATCCTGAGTGCCAGGAACCCAAAGTACAGTCTCATCCACGGTGTACTGAATTTTATAATTCTTTAATAGAGTTTCTAGACATGTCATTTATTTTTCACTCTGCCAATGAAATAAATAGGGAAAGCTTTTGTGCCATGTTTCATTGGCTGGACAATGACAACCCTGAGTATCATAGTTGGTGCTGCTGGACTACTAACTAAGGAACAAAATTAAACTGCAAAGAATAAAAATATCCAGAAAGTCGGGAAGCAGAAAGAAAAGGTATCGTGCTTTATGGGTGTTCATTCTAGATGTGTTCATTATATGCCAAAGCCTGGGGAAGGCAAATATGGAATTTAAAAAGACACCATCTGTTGTGTGATGTCCCAAATTATAAACTTAACCCTTAATTTCTACATCCCCTGCTGTTCAGTCGTTCTCCTTCTTCAGGATGAAAAAAAAAAAAAAAGGTTAGCACATTAACTAAGCAGGTTTAGCAGGACTGATGGATATGCCCCATAAGATATTTTGATAAGCCCAACATCACAACTGTATATTTTCTCCAGAAAGAAATTCTTGTTATATTTTAGTCTTAAAACAAACACTACCCATAAATACAGTAGTTGCCATAAGCTGAGGGACCATACAACCCACAGCAAGCCACAGGCTTTTCTGTGATTTTTATATTACTTAATATCTCAGGGCTCTTCGAAAGAAAAAGCAGAGATTTTAGAAAGCTTTCAAATCTGTGAAATGAAAAGTAAAATAATCCTGCAAGTGAAGAGAGTTTCTTTTCAAAAAATATTTTTTTAAGACCAAAAAACCCCACAAGAGTGTGTAGTCCAAGTCAAAAACATTTCCTGTTTAAATATTCAAAGGCAACCTGTGGCATACATAATAGGAGAAATTTCCATTAAAAAGAAAAACAAAAGTAAGGTATCCTCGAAAATGCCCATGTTTTCTTACTCATAGGTCTGAAGTAGCCCCGTTTTTAAAACACACTTAACAAATGCAACACAGCTCAATCAGGATTGATTTGAGTTCACAAAATAATTTTATTATATGTAAGAAAGCATACAGGCAATAAAATGAAGAAACATTCACAATGCATAAATAACACGGACCTGATGCAGGAGATATTTTTCAGTAGATTTCCTTCTTGTTACCCATTTCATCTAAACACTGTGTACATTGCTTATCAACAAGAATACTCTGTAAACATTTCAAAGAAATTCTCTTGAAATGCCCCCACATGAATGAGTATCTGGCAAAACAGACTCATGATACTTTATACAGTTGAGATGATGAGATAGGAACTTGATTCCAAAGCACAGAGAAGGAGCTAGCCTTTGTCAATAGAGATCCTGGTGGCTTTGGAGCACTTAACACACCCAAAGAGAAGGGGTCTCCTTTTATTTTCACCAAGAGAAGTGTCTAACTTGAGGATGATAATGAGGCACTATTCGTTAGTATACTATTAACATTTAGACTTAAAAAAAAATCAATTCTAAATTCAGATTAAAGCACTACAAAAAGTCGCCCCACTGAGTGGTGTGATTTGACCTGGTAAGATGGAGATGCAGGATTTGACCTTTGTCTGTTGGTGAGACTGTTATAACCCAAATATTAAGGAAACCTACTGTCTTCACTACACGTATCTAACCAGGACAGCCACTTGTTGGTTCAGAAAAGCTATCTGACACTGAAATGAGAAAGACGCAAAAGGCCAAGTATTTTACATAAATACAAAGGGGCACATACTTTTTATTACCACCTAAGGTCATAAATCTCAAGTCAGGTCCTTCTGAAGCTGGCTTTTATTTAAGATTATTTACAGAACTGCAAATCTTTCTCCTGGGAAAGTCTCTGTCATTTAAAAAAATTTGAACACAATAGTAGCTATGCCTTTTTAAGTTTTTCAAAATCTTTCTAGAAAAAAAAAAACATTCACAGCATTTGTCAATTCTCACCTTGTGTTTATTAATGCCAATGAATTTTAAAAAAGTATCACAACTTCATTTCCTATCAGTCTTTGCTGTTTCTGGAAGTTACCCATGAGCATTTAGAATCTCAGAGTTTGTCTGTTTGTTTCATTGGCCAATAAAGTGCTAGTTAGATGGACGAAATGTGATTGTAAGGTCTCAGATAATTCATTAGTTTATCCTATGACATCTGATAAATATAGATTTATTTAATAAATTTAAAATATCCATATAATACAATAAGTAAATAAAACCATTATCAACAAAACATCTCTCAAGTCTGGAAAAAAAATCCCACTCCTACTGTAAGGCTCAATTATTTTTTAGAAATAATTTATGAAGGCATGCACCTACCTTTACAATCTGAAAACTCTGCTTGGACCAGTGTTAGCACCTGTTTATACACAGCAAACTCGACCCTTCTCATTTCCTTCCTGGAAAGGATTTATTTTTTAAGCAATGCTGTTCATTGTTGATTCTGTGCCCTATTTTTTAAGTCCTAAGATAAGAATCAGTTTCTAAAAATAATTTTGGAGCCAAAGACACGTCCCTGTGAACGTTCACTTCACATATGTCCCTCTTTGATTCACTATGAACAACACAGAAAACACACTGAAATGTATTTTAAAATATAGTTAGTGTGTTTAAGGAAAAGCAGCAGAGGAGGGCTTGCCTGACATCTGAGTCTCACCACACCTTGGTTTCCTAACAGCAAGCCACTGAAAATCTCCTCCAGTTTTTGGGATGAGCCTGTCTGGCCGGATTCATCTCAGGGTTCAGGTTGGATGCTGTCCGTTTTGTGTGATAGGCTGGATCTTCTCTAGAGAGACATCGGTGTCGTAGTCCAATATGACAGATAGGGCCGGGGACAGCTTCTCCAAGGGTTTGGCCATTCCACCTGCCTCCTCCTTCTTCAGGTCCTCGGAGGAGCCCACTGCATGTGGGATCAGATAAACCAGATTGCAGTCCTTGGAAATGGAGCCTCGAGGCTCGTGATGGCTGGAAAATACCACAGCCCCATTGTTATTGATGCTAACCGTCTCTATGGCATTATTCGTGGTAGGGCAAAGTCTGTAGCATCCTAAGAGAGTTGAAAATGCCTTCCGAAAATCAGCATTAAAGGCATAAATGATGGGGTTCAAGGAGGAATTAGCCCACCCAAACCACACAAACACGTCAAAGGTGATGGAATCAATGCAGAAGGGCTTGGTCTCCCCAGACCCACAGAAGGGCACCATGCAGTTCAAGATGAAGAAAGGAAGCCAGCAGCACACAAAGACCCCCATGATCACGGACAGAGTCTTCAGAACTTTAGTTTCTCTTTTGAAGGACATCTTAAAGGAGCTTTCTGGTTGAGAACACTCCACTGGGTTTCCATTACCTGTAGTGGTCTGGCAATTCTTGGCATGGACTGCTGCCCTCTCCAAGGCCGAGATGCGCCGTATTTGTTTCTGGGCGATCCTATAGATCCTGGTGTAGGTGACAATCATGATGGCCACGGGGATATAAAAGCTTATCAGGGAGGATGAAATGGCATATGTCCTGCTTAAGCTGGAATCACAGTTGTCCAGGGTCTCACCCAGGGAAGTGGCATTGCCATCAGAGGAGCTTGTGGGTTTCGCCTTGTGCCAGCTGAGCTGTACTGGGATGAAAGAGATGAGTACAGACAAGGTCCATGCCACGCTGATCAGGATGAAGGCTGCCTTGGGGGTCATCTTCCTCTCATACCGGAAGGGGCTGGAGATGGCCCAATACCTGTCCACGCTGATCACACAGAGGTTGAGGATGGACGCGGTCGAGCACATGATGTCAAAGGCCACCCAGATGTTACAGAAGGACCCAAAGGGCCAGAAGCCAGCAATCTCCGCCACCGCTTTCCAGGGCATGACCAAGACAGCCACCAAGAGATCCGATACGGCCAAGGAGATGACAAAGAAGTTGGTCACCTTGGACCGCAGGTGTCGGAACCTGATGACAGCGGCACAGACCAGTGTGTTCCCCAGGAGTGTGGACAGGATGAGCAGAGACAGGAAGCAGGCTGTAAGGATGCGGAAGGAGAAGTCTCTCTCTACCACCAGCCCAGCCCCATCCATAGTAGAGGTGTTCAGAGTCCTCATCTTGCGGAGGGAGAGCACATAGGGGGCTCTGACACCCTCCAGTTCCTAAGCAGGGATGAGGGGTCAGTCCCACCTGCAGGAGTTCTCACTCACCAGGCAGCCCCTGGCACAGCCCCGACGGCTCCCCGAGGTGGAGGACCTCACCAGCATTCCATCAGAGGGCTGCAACAATTGCGTGGCAGGAGCCTGCCCTTGGCAACCCAAGTCAGCCCCTTGGAAGGTCCCTCTTGCTTGTTACGACTGTCTTCTGACTCCCTTGCTCCAGGTCACTGTCCTGTTGACCAGCTGGCCCTTCAATTCTCCATGGAAGGCATTGGCTTTTTAGCATATTCTAAGCTATCAAACCAGAGACTCCCAGGCCTCTGCGGATCTAGGCAATCGTAGTCATATTTTGGGGCTGTTGCCTCTCTGGTGGTGACAGAATTCTCCCCTTTTGAAGGTGCAGCTGAAAATACATGCCTCACTCCTCCAAGCCCCTGGCTCCACCGCAGCTCTCCAAACGCCCTAAAAAAGCAAAAAGAAAGCAAAGGTTGTTCGCCAAGACTTGAGCCCATCGCAGCTTTATCCGTATCAAATCCACTTCGACTCAGTCCGAGCCACCTACCTTGCCTTGAGGTTGTCTCTCTCAAAGCCCCTGGAGCTCGGAAAGCGGGCTTTGCTAGGCGCCACAGCTCCGCAACGCCCAGGAGGTGCGCCTGACTCCTGCCCCGCGCGCGCAGCCGGGGTCTGGCTCCTGATGCGCAAAAATCGCAGGGCAGGTTTGGGAAATGTTCCCAGGCCAGGTCCCCCGGGGCCGGCGCTGCCCTACTGCCTCCAAAGGCTAATGATTGTTTAAAGCCGAGGACACCCGGGAAAAGGGCTCCCGGGCGCTCGGCGCATCCTTGAGAGAGGGTACCTCCAGGACTAGTCACTTGGAGAGCTTCTTTCCTTTGCTGCCTTTTTCCCAGAACCGAGCGCCCGGGCGCCCCTCGGGTGGCCTCTGGCCCTTCGGGGCAGGGCTCTGCGCCTCTCCGCCGCACTATCCGCTAGCTCCCGGGAGCCCGTGGGAACGCCAGGCAGAGAGCGCCGAGCTGGCAGCGGCGGGCGCACGGGCCAGCCGGGTTCCCGCGGGGCACAGCCCACCCCGCCCCCGCGTCCCCTCCCCTGCCCTGCCTGGGGGCGGGCTTTGCTTGACAGGCAGAGTTGCGGGCGACAGCCGCACGTGGTCCGTTGGATGGTGCCGCGGGCGAAACGGGGGGCGGGGGACGCCCAGGTGAGCGCTCGCACGCCCTGGGGTACCGGCTAACGCGCGGACCCTCGGACCCCTGGACAGCACGCGACAAGGGCCCGCCAGACGTTAGTACCTCGAGTAAGCCCGAGACGCCTGAAAGCGAAGCTCGGCCGACCGACATTCATTGGGGTCGACCCCACGCCCTTCCCAAAGACCGAAGCAAGCGGGGACCCTGCCCACTCACCCACGCACACCAAGCCCTGGAACGGCTGGCGTCCGACCTGCGCTGTCTCCAAGTGTCCCCCAACTAGGGTGAGGAATGCCCCGCCGGCGCCCGTACTCACCGCTCTCGGAGAGGGCTCGGCGCTGCGGCGCGCCTGGCAGGTGCGATCCGCTGCGCCCGGAGGCCACTCACTTCCCGCTCCGCGGGGACAGCCGGCGCGTCGCGGGCTGCGGTCAACGCCGGACTGCAGCCAGTGCCCCGCGCCGGGAGAGCGCCCCAACATCAGCACCACGAGCTCGGCAGGCCCGGGGCGCCCTCTGCCGGTGGCGGCGGCTTCCCACGGCCCCGCTGCACCCTCACAGGTACAGACCTCACCCGCACCGGCTCCCGGGTTCACGTGGGACCCGCGCCCGGACCGGCATTTCCCCGACCACGACTGCCAAAACCTGGAAAGGGGGATGCGTAGTATTCCTCATTTAGGACTCATTCTACTAAAAAATGCCAAGAATGAAAAAGTCCTTTTGCTGGCTCTGCATTCATTGAATCGGTATATTTTCCCTAGCACTCATTGCGTGCCAAGAGCAAGGGCGATAGGGTGAGCAAGATGCAAGCTTTACTCTCAAAAAGACGAGACAGAACTGGCATTCACTGAGCTACCTCCGTGTCCCGGGCACACACCTTACGTTGTTCACCCCTTAAAACAATCCCTTCTCATAGGCCTGGTCATCTCCACTTTGCCCAAGTGGAAAATGAGGTTCAGAAAGGTGTTCAAAGTTAGAGTTAATGTAGGTACTGGCTGCCTGACTCCCGCCTGCGTGTTCTTTTCACTTACGTGTCACTGCCTACTAGGGAGCTCAGGCTCTAGTGTCAGAGCCAACGAACTAAATAAGTAATTACCCATGGTCTAAAATAGAGCTCAGGGCAAAATGGAGGCAAGAGAGCCCTAGTGGAGAAGGACCTCCCCGGCTTCTTCCCAGCTGCCCTGGACAAAGCCTCACAAGTCAGACTTCGAACGAATTTGTACATTAAGTGGCACCATCGCCGTGCCTTCCTGGGCAAGGGGAGTCCATGTCAGACTGCCTGGCTTCCCGCCCTTACCCTGCCCTGCGGGCTGTGTGGGCTCTCTCTTCCCTGGGCTTGGTTTCTTCCTCTGTAAAACGGTGATGGCATAGCAGGATTGTTCTAAGTATTAAATGAGATGATGTTTACAGAGGGCTTGGCACTGAGCCTAGATATTCAGCCCTCCATGGGCAGAAATCCCTGGGGGCTCATTAGAAAACCAATAGCCTTGCCTCCTTGAGAACCCGGCACCACATTGGAAGCTACAGTTTTCTCTGTAAAAACCCAGAACCTGAGTAATAATTCCATTAAATTAACCAGTACAACCTGCACCTTGGTTTTAAAGGAAAGGACTGTCTTCCCGGGGCAGACCATCCTGTGCCTCTGCCCCCAGCTCTGTGCGCCCATGATCAGCCTCGCCATCACACCCAGCAACACCATGAGTCATGAGTCAAAATCACAGACAATTTTGCCACACACGTGCCCAAAGAACCACATTCTTATAGAGCCGTAAGCCATGCCTAACATAATACTTCCAGATCATTTTCCTTAAAGCAGGCATTCCCCCACGCTTCTTGACTTCATCTTTCTTTCCCTTTTATGAATAAGTACAAATTAAACATATGCTTCTGATTCAAGATGGTCATGTGGGCTTGAACATTTAACTCCCCACATTCTACCCACCCCATCCTGAAATGTTTCCCGTGCATTCCACCTGGAGATACACACGGAGGAGAAATTCAGCATTAACCCTGGAAAACAGGAAAAAAGTGAGGTCCTTTTTCCAAGATAAAGGGCGGATGGGATTGGACGAGAGGAGGGAGGACTTCCCTGGCATTCTCCATATGGGAAGAAAACTCCAAAGGAACACACTACCAAGATCGAGGTAACAGACGCTGGAGGTCAGGATAAGGCCAGTTGAGAAGTGCCCCCAATGCCCAAGTCCTCGCAGAGCCAATAACCCCGGCAGAGCCCACCGCTCTTTAAATTAAAACAAGAATGACAACTACAAACAGAATACCCAGACCCCCAGAGTCTCATCTATAGAAAGCCCAGTGGTGACTGCTCAGGTTCCAGATGGCATCACATTTAATGATATACCAGTCCACTGGCCAAAAAAATCTTGATATGAAATTTAACTTTTACCCAAAAGCTTGTTGGAAACAAACGACATTCATAACATACTCCTTCCCATCCTCGTTTCTCTCAAGCTAGGCAGTTGCTGAAAAAAAAAAAAAAAAAAAAAAAAAACCTCTCTTTCTTTACTTGAAAAATCCCCTAAATTCTTTCCAAACTAGTCCACGCTGACCTTAGTCATTTTCTCTCAACTCATTCCCCGGACAGGTCTAGGTGATCAAATCAACATACATCACTTCTATAGTGGTCGAGGGGTATTTCTCATCCACAAGTCAATGTCTGCCATTTTCAATGTCAGAACATCAAATGTCCTCCTTACCTGTAATGCACAAAAAGGCTCAGGAACCCAGCTAGAGAAGGAGGGAAGAACCTGTGAATACCCAAGGGGGTGATTTTTGTTTCCTGTCAGCAGGAAACCAGGAGAGTTGAACAATTTCTCGTGATTCCAAGACAAACACCTGAGATCTTGTTCTAGCAGACTTAGTTCACTGATTTTTGAACATGATTGCCGAGGGAACAGGAAAGAGTAAAATGTAGTTTAAATCCCATGGTTTTTTTTTTTTCTTCTTTCACTTTGCAGAGTGTGAATTTCAGAGGAACTTACAATTTGGCTAGAGATTTCGGCTTTCTTCCATTTTTTTCTCTCTTGAAGCCAAGGTGAAACAAAGGCTTCCGTTTTGTTCTATAAAAATCTCCCCCACAAACATCAAGAACAGGAATATAAATGCAAGCAGGTATTAGCATTAGATCATGCTGGGAATGTAAACCCAAACACAAAAGCACCTTTATTTCCCAAATTGGCATGTCTTTTAAGCACCGCTGTGATTTATGCACTGCAGGAAGGAGGAAGTTAAAATGATGCTTTTCAACAAATTTTTATTTAGAGTTTGTAAAAGTAAATCAATACAAAAGGCACATTATCACAGGGCTATCTTAATCTCATAAAAGAATAAATAAACAACTGAACTGTCAGGTATAACAAAGATACATTTGGGAGGCTTTGGGATTATTAAAGCTGATTTTATACCAAAAATTACTGTTTATAATGTCAATAAAAAAAAGAATAAAGCTTGACTGACCTTGACTAAGTAACTAGAATGCTTGTTTTCTACCATAAATATAGCATCTCTGAAATTCCTAATCCCATGTCATATTTTCTTTTCCTATAGTTACTATACAATTCCAAAATCAACACGATTAAAAATTTTGAAATCAACAAACATTACTTGGTGTAGTGGTTGAGATATAGTTCGGCACACATCATGAGCTTTCTATTGTTGCATATGTTCATATGTTCGTGGTTCCCTTTTTCCTCTCGCTCTTTTTCTACCTTCGTTAAGCTTAACTGAATAGTTTTTATTTTATCTCCTG